CGCCGCACAAGAGGTAGGTACATATTAATGGACGAGATATTCCACCGCGGCGTTCCAATACCGTATGGGTACCTACAGGGTTGGGCCGAAACCTTGATAAAGTATTGATTTTTGGTTTTTGATTTCGAAAATCTTAATTTTGATTTTTGATTGTTATTTTTTCAAATTGTTCAGTCATTTCCTAGTCTTAACCCTTGATGTACTTATTTAAAATATAAGTGTTAAAAAAACATACGTCATTTAAAACTAAAATTTCAGACAGGAGTCTATGGAAAATGCAACGTTCAGTACCTCGTGACCAAAGAAAATAACAACACGAATGTAAAGAAAATAATCAACTTTTCGGCTTGTGACAATAAACTTGGACAACAGTGGAGCAATACGCCGGCTTTCACGTGTCCATCGAGTTATCAAGTAAAATTAATTTAAAGTTTAAACGAGCTTTGAGTTTTGGTTTAGATATTTTCTACTCCAAAATTAGTAAATAATAAATTCTGTTATTTTAAAAATATTAAACTTTCAGGATGGAAGTATGAGCCACAGTGTTCGGAATTATAATCTGGACGAGATGAATGTGATTCGGTATTTGAATAGTATCGGTACAGTAGAGTTCCAACCATTCCAAGCATTAGCAGAATCTCATCACATCTTTGTGAAGTAAGTCTAAAAAATTTTACACACAAATAAGATTCACTATCACCAGATTCTTAACAGCCAAACATTTGAGCTGGATGATATTTTTCCGATTGGAGAACCAACAACGTTGGCAGCCAAGTTGGACGACTCTATTGAGTACGATTTTAATCACTATGAAGATCCTACAATGGGTTTCAAGCCTTCCAACAAGTCTCTTCTTTTGGCAGAAGTAATGTTCATAAACATTATTTTATTACCTGCCAACTAGTGTCAATAAACTACGTATTATACCTATTATATAAATTATTTTATAGATTCTCGATGCACTCGGCCAACTCACAGAAAGTTTAAGTTGGGAAATTGGGACAACTAACCTAGACAACCAGACTGAATTTAGAGCTTTAGAGCTCATGTGGTGGTTAGATACATCTGACTGGACTACATTATACGATACTATAAAAATCGGAACCAGTTACTCACAAGAAACCATACAGTTCGTACGATTTAAACTGGTAAATTATTACAACCGTGTGCCAACATTTTACTTGCTTTTTTTCTAGACACTTCTTTTGGGACTTGGTGCCACAAGTTGGATCAGCTTCTTCAGTTGAATTTATTCGTGAACTAATTAAGACACAAAAAATAACAAGCTTTTTGGCTACTGGATTGTTAATAACTTTTCCGTACCACGTTAGGTATCCAAACGAAAAACTCTTAAAAGAATCCGAAATTTTATTGTATCTAGATAGAGATCTAGAAAATGAAGTGAGAAAAGTAGCGATTTTGAGCTTTGCTTCGTTGATACATAAGACGTGTGGTAAGGGAATGTGCTCAGACGATACGCAGAACAAGTACATCAAATTATTTTTAGACAAATTCATAGGTCAGTAACATGATTGTTTTTAAACAATTTTTTTTTAATATAATTACAAAATACTATGGCTTTTAACAACAAAAACGGCAACAAATAATATTTTTGTCATTCGATATTATTTGTATTATTTTGTACAATCATTTTTTATTTATATATTTATCTTATTTATCGAACAGAGAACGAAAAACATCAGCGTTTCGACTTCTGGTACAAATATATAGATTGAATGAACATTAATTGTTGCTATAAGCAAAATTGTTGGTTAGATATCAATTGATCAATTTCACTAACACAATATGTAAACATAACAGTAGTTATGGATAATATTTTAACATCCCTACCCATCAATATTAATTTCACAAATTATTGTTAGTCAATTGCATAAGCTGCAATAAGCTACAAAGTAAAAACATTAAAATATTTAGTTTTTTTTTTTAATCTGTTAAAAATCGTGATTAATTAGTATTTTAGTTAAATTATTAACCGATAAATAATCTATTCATAAATTTATCACTACTTCATTAACTATTCATGATATTTGAATATCTACGATGCAGACCATCGTATCTTATTGACAAGATTAGTTTATTAATAATATAGTAATGAAAATAATTTTTCACTGTTTTGTTGTATAAACTTACTATTAATTGTAATTACTAATTTGTATTATTACAAATTACAAATAGATCGATAACACAATTTTTATCATTTTATTTCTTTATATACGTTGATTCTAACAATTGTACGTTTTAGAATCCACTTCACACAGTCGACAAATGTTGTTCATCGAAGCGTTCAGTAACATGAAAATCGACAATATACTAGACTTTTTACAACCGATTATTACAGATCATAACCGTTCTAGGCACATCCGATTAGTCGCTATTTGGGCAGCGAAATCGGCCACTACTGCCCACCCAGATAAGGTATATTACACTATTATGTTATATCATAATATTTAATAACTAACTGATAAATAGCTCGTGCAAAACCTCGAAAGTCAAAAAATGAATACTATTTTTTTTGAACTTTATTGGTCCATTGTAGTTTTTCACTCATTTTGATATCATGATAAATTGATAACTAATATTTGACAGTTATTTCATAAGATAAAATACAAAATATAAAACCTCGTATCTCTATCGATAAAAGTAAAACAAACTTAAAAATGTTTTAGACTACCACGATTTTTCACTTCTCCTATACAATCTGATAAAAATGACTTGAGGTTTTGCCATAAAGCTAACGAATTTTATATATAATTATACATTAAAAAATCAAATGTATATACAATACAATTTATTGAAATATAGACGTATTAAATAATGATGATGATATTCATAATAATGTGTAATATAAATGTATATAAAAAATAGTTTAAATATAATACCTTTGGCTTATACACCTACTCAGGTCGCTGAAGTATTTTGGCCGATATTGACAAACCACTCTGAGCCTATGGAAATCCGAACATCCGCACTAAACATGCTCATGATGTCCCAGCCGACCGTGTCACGGTTTTTAACACTCTACTGGTTCATGCAAGCCGAACCTAGCCAACAGATTTATAACTTTTACTACACAACGATCAACTCGATGGCCAACTCCAAGTATCCTTGCTACGACAAATAGTAAGTTAATATCTACGTACTGACAACTGGAGATATCGGAATGCTTGAATTATGTCGCTGGACGCAGTAATTTTTTTTTGAGATCTTTAATTGTTGTGACTATATCCAACTATTATAGATGATCTATTTTGTTTGGTAAACAAATTTCATATCTTTATTTTTCGTAAGTGAATCAACATTTTCAAATATTAATGATGGTTTAGTATCAATATAAATTACTTTTCTAAAACGAAGAGTCCAGACCATCGTATTGGACGGCGTTACGTATAGGCAATATAGGTACATTACTGCGATGATTCTAAAACTAATCATTTAAACTTTATTTATTATTTTATTAGGCAATTAGTAATTACATTTTATATTCCAAAAAAATTCAAAAATTTAAAAATCCCATTTACAACGACATGAGAACTGACAATATTATAAGCATGTTGATAAATGCAGTAAAATGAAATTTCTTCCCTCAGCAGCAAAATAGCCGCGCAAATCGTAAGGTTCGTGCAGCATAAATGGCATCACTGGGCCACCGGAAACTACGTGTTGGACTACGAGGACCCGATGAGGGGGTATGGCGGAATCGTCCAGACCATCCTGATGGCCAACCAGCGCACCGGGTTTCCATCCGTGCTCAGGTTGACGGCCGAACAACACTCGTTCGGCACATCATCTGAATTTCAGATCCACATAAAAGCCGAAGGACTGGCTGACAGCTTGAAGAGGGAACTGTTCAATACCATGGTGAAACCGTCCGGCGAAACAACCGACTCGTTCAAGCACCTGCAGGACGTGCTCGAAAAGGCCAAGTTCACCATCCGGGAGGACGAAAACCTTCACTTTGAGACCATTATCAAAATTAACGAGCAGACCATCTACTGTCACCACTTGAACCGCACCACGTTCAAGAGCTTCGCCCACGGTACGACTTGCATGATGTTATACTGACTACTGAGTGTCTTTCCGCGTCCATATCTGCCAATGACTATTTTTCCAATCAATATATTTGATCTTGGGTTAGGCAATTCGAATACTAATCTTATTGTTTCCGTGTTTTATGACAAACATGGTATAATTAAAACTTTAAAATTTGAATTTTCCACGAAATACTCGAATAGTTAAATGTATAGCTATATCTACGAAATTACGTAACTACAGCCGATGCCAATAAATAGGTTTCAAAAGTCAAAATATAACCCAATGACAACTGCCAGAAATTCGGTAAAATTAAAATATAAAAATGTATGCATGGTTCGAGTAGGTAGGTAAGTTTCATAATATCATACTATCGTCGACTTAGTATTCGGGCCTTGCAGCAATATTGCTGCAGAATATAGCAGAGTAGTATATGAATACGTATTAAAGTAGGTACAAAGAATTCATAAACAAAATTTAATATTGCCTATTTTTCATATATTATCTGATTTTTTTGAATTTTTAAGGAATTTTTAAGAAACTTGTTAAAAATAAAATAAAATTTGTATTACATAATATTATTATGTTTGTTATTTCCGCGACATAGCTATAAATATGTACCTAGTTAAAAGGATAAATAATCGTCGTATCTTTGATATGCAAGCAGCTCTTTAAGACTTTTGTAAAATTCCAAGTCCTTTCAAGTCACCTCCCTCCTTCGACGATGACCAATTATAATGAAACAATATTAAGATTAATTATAAGACGTATGATTTTAAGTATAAATAACATAACGGGCTTACCGTTTCAGTATTGAAGAGGCTGAGTTCGTTGTATTTCCAGTTCAGTTTGAACTACCAGCGTCTATCGTTCCCGTTACGTTTCCAGCGGACGCACTTTACCGATTTTGGAACTCCGATCCTACTACAGTTTAGAACGGCCTCATTACTGTCATTACGAGGAAGCATCAAGCAAACCGAGAGTGGCAAGTCAAGGGACGCCGAACTAGACTTCCGGTAAACGCCACTCTGATTTCAATAGCGCCAGAAATAAAAATTCTAAAAATAAAAATGAATTGTGTTTCATGATTTTTGTGTCTTTGTAACGATATGTTATAGATACTCCATGGATACTGTGACCAGTCTGAAAACCTTCAACCCGCTAAGCAGTACCTGGCGGGGTGCCGACCGTTTCCGTTGTATTCATGCAAGAATACCGTTTTCCACCGAGATAATAACACACTTTTTCAGATCTTACGTAAAAGCATCAGCTTATAGGTACAAAAATTTCGTTGACGGGTCAAAGCTGGGAATCGTGTGGCATTCCGCTACCAAACTGGTTCCACCGGAAAACACGTTACCGGTCGTCAAGAAAGACGAATTACTCACCGATGTAATTTTCCAATTTTTCTTTTTCTTCGTTCTAAATATATTTACCCATAATCATATCAAAATATACAGTATTGATATTTTGGTTAATACGATTAATTGTACGTCTTTAGGACTGGGCTTTCGAGTCAAGAGATTTGGGTGCGAAAATTGCCACTACCGTTTTTGACTGTCAAGATGATGGAAAATTTTCCAATTCGTTGATCATCATCAAAGAAGCATTTCAAATTGGTAACAAAAACTATCAGTGAGTATTTTACGGTTCAAAAATTAATAATATTTTAGAATGTACATTCTATTTCTCAATTCAGTTCATCAATTCTCTGGAAATAGAGCAACTACTACCCTTCCCCTCAACAATTAACTAAATAAAATAATATGTTTTTAGTGTTCTATATTTAACTAAAAGTATCTTACACATCTACAAAAGAAATCGTAAATAATTAAATAAACTACCTAACATATAAATTTCACATTATTAATATTTAATATTTGTTTTACCTGCTACATAATATAGCTATTTTTTTATATTAACAACTCAAATGAAAGTATATAAATAATCCGAAATATTGTATGGTTACGGCAAGATGATCAATTCGATGAATTCTATTAATTTCCAATTTCTATATATTCTATATTTCATATTTTCACATACGAGGTACGCCTTCGCGGATTAGTACAATTTCATCACGTGCCTGGGCTACATAAACCGACACAATACCCGGAGTCCCGGTCATACCTTTCACAAACTAATAATTGAGTCGTTTTTCGTCTACTAAATATTCATCCAAACATCCATCAATTTGGAGACTTAAAAATGCACCCCAAAAAGAAAAAAGTATTAAAACATTAAAACATTAAAAATTCAGCAGTTCCTATTTTGCAGTCAAGAACCACAATCAAAAAAAGTTATCGAAATAAAAGTGAACATTTCAAAAAAATAAATATGTACAGATTATAATAACCGTACAACAATTGATTATCTCCATGTTGTTGCATACAGTTTTCAATTGCAAACATAAAAACTATTTACCTTCATATTAACATTATCAAATGGGGAAAAATACTTGCCTACATTGTATTTTGTTTTTTGTGTATAATTAGGTATATTTATCTATTATGTATACGCCTAAAATTATTTATAAAAAAACTAATTTATTAATATATGAATTTATTGTTAGTTATGTAAACCTATTTTGAAATAATAATTTAAGAAAAAAAAATATTTCAATTTTATGTGAACCTATTTTGAATTAACAATACCTATATTGAACATGCGAACAATGTATGGACGAACAATTTTCGTATTCGAACAATTTCTGCGAGAGCAACTGTCGCGCGAACTATTTTCGAAGAACAATAAAATTGACGTATATCCCTCGAAATCACCACTGACACACACATACCTCAAATCACATTACGATATGATTTATAAATGTATTGGTACTTAGATTATAATATGTACCAGTAATACCAGCAGTGTACCATTATTAGTATTAAATAATATCCATATACAACTAATTTAAAATCTAACCGTTTTTGTTTTTCAGGGCCATACCCGGCGGCGTTGCTTTCCTGGGCATCTATTCGCTCGCCAACTATTTCACGTTCATTCCTCCAGAAGACAGTTGTGGTCTAGTATTGTCCCTGTCACCGTTGCAGGTTTGTCGTCGAATACTTACATAATATAATTTGTTTTACTGTCTATATATTATTAGTTGTATCCAATACACTAGCTAGTAAAAATATTATATTACCTGGATTGGCTGGATTGTTTTTAAGTGTATTTGATGAGTAGGGGAAAGAAATAGAAGTTATGATGTTATATTAGGGTAAGTGTATAATAATAAAATAAGCCACCTACACAAAAACAAAAATTAATTCAAACGTCCCGTATATACTTGATATTAAATTCTTGTAAAAATGATTTCGAACGACGCATATTTTGTTTATTTTATATTATATAGTAGTATATTATAGTATAACCAACCTATTCTAGAGAAATCTTAATATTTGTGTATATTAAATATATATAGGCTTAATCTGGAAGTAAAATGGGAGGGGAGAGTTGACCTTCTTGATATTTTATATTAGGGTCAAAGATATCGTTTTAAGTTCTAATTTATAAAAGCTGAGTAATCACAGTGGAATTTAATCTAATTATTAAGTACATTCCCTAGGTAGTTAATTTCTATCTTTACGTATTGATAACATTAAATTATACATAGGTATTATATTATAGATAGCACTAACTTGGTATATTTTCACTGATTTTGCAATTCTACATCACTTCAAGTACCTACCAATATTTATTTTAATGTTTGTATAGATGGCTTTGTCGTTGGTAAATTATTTGTTGTGTAGAAGAGCACCATCCCCTCTCTCACTGTATTTTCAAACCCAATTTATAGGAACAAATTATTTTTAAATTTCCCCCACCAACATAAAAAACAAAACAATAACTTCACCAGTTATCTGCAATATAATATATATAATAACAATGTAATAATATATTATATATTATATACGTAGATATACAATATTTGTGTACCTATATTGACAACTGTCTATTATAAAGAGATAGGAAATTAAAGAAGACTTAAATACGAGATTTGCGAGTAGGTGCCCACTGCCAACATATTGTTATAGCCAGTGTTAAAGGACCATAAATCAAACATTACGAATTTCAATATTTTGATATAGGACATATGAATAGTGAGCATTTCATAATAATAAGCTGTTAAATCAACTACCTATGAAACTTGTTTCGTTGAGAGTCTTGAACTATTAGACTTAGTTTGAGATTATAGGATAATATCTATTAAGTCATAAATTAAAATAATGTTTTAAAACAATAAGACCTTCTTTTATTAAATAAAGTATATAAATATGAATATCAGATTCTTGATAAATAGGTAATTTAATATAAATTATTACGATTTACGATTATTTAATATTTTAGCTCTTAGCTTTTTGATTTATTCATTAGTCTTCAGTCATTATCTGCGTTATGATTATTAGATATTTGTTTCATATAAAACTTGAATTTTTATTTAAAGTTTTCGCACAACGGGGCGGTACCTACAACAGTGTACAACTGATACACAACAGCCCCCCCCCCCTTTTTTTAAATGTATGGTTCCTCAGCAGTCTGTCAGTGCGAATTACAACCACTTGATTGAGCGTACCGCCATACTATGAGCCATACTCGTGTCCGATATTACTTATACATAACACGCTTTGTAACAGGTGGTGCCCGTGTTCGTCCAAGAGGGCAACACTATGCACATCACGATGAACCACTACGACCAGACGCTGTGGGGCCTGATCGCGCACTACGCGCGCATCGCGGACGGCAACCAAGAGATATCGTTCAAGCTGAGCCACTCGAACCGCGAGCGGAACATCACCATCACCAACGGTTACTGGAGGCTACTGCGGTTCGAGGGGTCGTTCATACTGCCGTCCCGCAAGTCCGGCGCCCTGCACCCGCCGCCGCCGCTGCACGGTCAGGCCACCGTGTCTTGGGGCTACCACGACGCGGCCACCACCATGCTCGTGTCCATCAAGCCGGAGAACGCCCGCGAGGAATGGCCCGAACAGTGTGTCATCGATTCGCCCACGTGCCTGCAGACCGCCAGCGACATATCCACCAGTCAAATCATATCGCTGCAATTCGTCAACGTGAGCATCGCAGACGCGTATTACTGCTATAATAATCAACGATGATAAAAACATTATCATAGTTATCGGGACACGATACCCACAGTAATAATAATCAACCCAAGGCTTTTCCGGAGGATTTGACGGCTTGATATGATTAATAATAGATCAATAAAATCGAACTGTATAATAACATTGTGGAAGTACCGATGATTTAAACGAGCAACCGTCAAATCTTCCGAGTTCCGGCTGTTGGGTATCCAGGATGAGGGTGTCATATGAGTATAATACATTCATTTTCGCGATTCCATTACCGCAGCACATCCTAACGATACATCCCTCGACCCAACTGTTATTGCCACTTATTGGGGGCGAATGTAAGTTCCTGCACGAGAGTAGCAGGTACACAAAATACATACGTTAGTTCCTACACGTCTTAAAAAGTTACTTATGTAAGTTCCTACATGGTAAAAACCAGGTACGTATGTTAGTTACTGCGGAAATAGTTAAATATGTATATTGTACACAATTAAATATGTATATACGAATTTAAAAAAACAAATATATTATGATGATTGAAAAAATTGTATAAAAATCGTCATAGTGCATTTTCACAAATAAATATTGTATAATATGGTGATTAAAAAATATAATAAAAATTAAAAATACATAAAATACGAAATTTTATATTTTATGAGGTTTATTTCTATAACTTAAAATCTTAACATATTCGTATTGATTAATTTTGTTCGTTGTATAATCTGAAATTTGTTTATTTATGAAATCTTTTTTTTCGGCGTATTTTTTACTGATTTTTGGTTTTTCGCTACTAATTGTGGTTCTTATTTTAATATATGTATTGACTTGAAAAAATTTGAGAATTTCAATAATTCTGTCTGTGTATAATATACATATTTAACCCTTTCCGCAGTGTAGGGAATTAACATACGTACCCGGTTTTTACCGTGTAGGAACTTACATAAGTACCTTCTTCCGTCGTGTAGGAACTAACATAAGCACCTGTTTTTTACCGTGTAGGAACTAACGTATGTAATTGTATACCTGCTACTCTCGTGTAGGAACTTACTATTCCCCGTTAATGGTTCGCTCTGAAGGTTCTAACTTACTGATTAGGATTGGGTCATCGAATATCGAGTGTAGACGTACTGTGATACAATGATTGAATGACCGTCCATTGCATATTGACACATTATATTTCTCATGTTCAGTGGTCGAAGTGGGGGGGGGGGGTATGGAGGGATGACATCCCTCTACTTTTTTGTATTTACATTTTTCATCCCTCCACTTATTTTGTCTAGAATAACGCATTCCTCCTAAGACTTGTGTTTTAAAATGAAATAATTATTATGATTTTTATATTTATACCTATGTATAAGAAACTTTATTTTTCGTATAGGCCTAAATCTGAATTGCAAGGCATCCCTCCACTTATCTTGAGCCATTTCGACCACTGCTCATGTTACCTATAATATAGTTATTAATTAGGTAGGTACCAATAACCTGCACGCTATAGGTATATTCCGTCACAGTAAAATATTCTAATGGTAAGATTGTGGGCTAAGAGTAGATGTTGGTATAGGTGCTGCGGTACACTAATTAGATATGGTATAAGACAAAAAATGCAATGACAAAATATAAGATCAAATCCTAAATAGTTACAAAAATTGACCAAAAATTAGTGTGTCGTGATAAATATAAAATAGGTGCCTACCCACTTAGATAACCATATTGTGACATTTGTGGCGCATAGGTAAAAATGTTTATTATGCTATTTTATGACTTAATATGAACTATCAATCAGCTCTGTGAAATATAAGTTATAACTCAGACTTCTGTAGGTAGATTTCCGTTACAAACAAAATATTTATTATAAATCGGTAGGTATCCAAGTACTATTATATTACAGTCAACTCGCGATATAACGAATTTCAAGGGACCAAGAAAAAAATTTCTTTATATCGAAAGTTCGTTACATCGAAATTCGTTATATCAAGAGAATATACCAATTGAATTCGTTGTGACGAGATTTAAAGAGATTGTACATATTTATTTAAAAATTTTTTTATTCGTATACATATGTATAAAATATATGAGTCATAAAAGTATGTATTTATTCGACATAAGTCTTATCTTAATTGCGATACTGTACTTGAGTGTCCTATCGCATGATAATCATCAGAAAAACTTCGTAATCTATTATGTAGTAATACCAACATACTTATTTTTATATATATTTCATAGAGTTATACACTAGATACACGTATTATCTTAATTAAAATTAAAAATTCGTAATAAAAAGCTCCAAATTTATAAAAATTCGTTACATCTCGAGAGTTCTGATCAAAAACGCTTCGCTACATCGAGGGGACCAAAATACATTAGGTACATTTGTTCGTTATACCGCGATATTTTCAAGGGACCGGTAGTTTTATTCGTTATATCGAGATTTTCGTTATATCGAATTTCGTTAAATCGCGAGTTGACTGTATATAGCCAAATAAGAATTGAAATATAGGACAGATGTGGCTCAAAGAGTTACCAACTTTCTCAATAGTTTTAACAATAAATTTAAACTCCAAACGACTTGCCTACATACTACCTAAATTATTATCATATTATATTTTGTCTTTACTCTTTAACATTCACAACCAATTCGTTTTTACATTCAGGAGTGTAAAAAAAGTACACAAGAGGTATCGTGTGAGTGTGTGACGTATTACATACGGAGTGATCCGTTTAACGTGAGACACTTATTAAATATTTCAGAAAATCATAACGTTTTTAAAACTATTCCTTATACATAACATTAAGTCGTAAATCTACAATTGTAGAAATTTAGATAAATTTCCTAGCGAGTTAAAATTATGTAAAAAAATTTATTTATTTTTGATAAGTTAATAGTTTTTGAAATATCGATTGTGTTACGTTAAAAGAGCCTCCCAGTATATTAATTAAAAATCAAAATTTGTTTTAAACAGCAATTATAGTCATACATTATAAAACTAATTCTAGCTGCCGAGTTGGATGATAATTACAATGCATTCATTGTTTTCTGATTTTGTAATGGACGAAGGTAATATGACCACCGTCAAATTTACATTTCCAACTAAACTTCCTTGGACCACGCGGGGTGAGTATATATTTTAGAAAGTAATGGCAATTTAGAAATACAAAAGTAAACTTAAAACGTGTTTTTAGGTATCTGCGCGGTTAATTCTGTGACGGCGTTGAGTTTGGACAATTCAACAACGCACAATTTCAAGTTAAATCAAGACTGCTACACAATAGCATTAGCAGACTGTTCTTCATTATCTCGTTTTATAGTAGGCATTAAAATGAACACTATTAATTCAACCTTGGTAAGTATAGAATAAAACATTTGCCAATATGTGAAGTAAGTATAGGATAATATGAAATATTACATTTTTGGTTTTGTAGAGCGTACGGATATTAACACAAAACAGTGTAATGGATATGGTTCAAGAAAATTCAGACATAAAAGTATACATTAATGGAACTGAAATTGAAGTGACCGCAACTGGAGTTCAACACCCACCGAAAAATAAAGATGATATTTTTATTTATAGGTAAGTGCACTAATTATTACTTTACAACTTTAATAAATATTTATTTTAAGGTATAAACATTTTTAGAGCGAAAAAGTGGGATGAAGAAATGACTGATCTAGAAATTAATTCTGGAATAACCGTTCAACATTATGGTCATACGGTCATTATGTTGGTTGAAAGCAAATTGCGTGGATTTACGTGTGGCTTATGTGGAAATTTCAACAGTGAAAACAGTGATGAATTAAATGAAACACCAAAATGTGTACAATTGTAAAAAAAATAGACTTATTAAAAAAATAATATTTAAAATATTGTATAACTTTCATATATAAATAAATGTACTACATACATAATAAATACGTACATATATAATTATTATGTAAATAAATTAAAATTTTATAAATTAAAAAAAAAACAATAATAATATTATCACGCAATTGTATAAAGACTATTTAACCGGTTCTGTTGTACATTTTCAACAAACTTTTCAGCTTTTGAACTCAATCTTTTAGTTGGTAATTTATAACGTAGAAATGCTCTAACATTTCTTTGGTACATGAAAATAGCAATCATAAAGTCCCACGCAGTAAATTCGGGCCATAAGACTGATGTAAAATAAATGTAGCTGTAAGAACACTGAAAAATATAAAATATAGTTGAAACGGCAGTTTCTCTACTAAAAATATTTTCAAAAACAATTAATTTACCTGCCATAACATGAAATCACTCAGTCTAGTCTCACCCGATGTGCGTATTAATAAATCAGGTGGCGGGGACGGATAGGTGTACATACAATTATCTAAAATTTCAACTGATAAATCTGATTCCTCCAAATCATTATTTTTAATACCATTAGATATTTGATTGAATGCATTTGTTAATTCATCATGTCCTAAGAAAAAAAGGTTTCAATATTATTAACAAATATTGTAGACTTGTACAACGCACATAAACAAAATTAATTTGTTAATAAAAACATTTTAAATGAATTATAATCTAATAACAAGTACATAGACAAAATATTTTTATAAGACTCATAATTCACATATTACTCAACATATAAAAACATTCAATGAATCAATCAATAGTAAACATTTTAAATGAATTATAATCTAATAACAAGTACATAGACAAAATATTTTTATGGGACTCATAAGTCATAATTCACATATTACTCAACATATATAAACATTCAATGAATCAATCAATAGTGAGTTAATGGTCTTTTAATCATGATTTAGTTGCCCATTATTGGTCCATTCAATTTTATAATTTTAAAATAATTAGTTTGCCATGCAACTTGGCATAACACTATGATATTTATTAACTGGTAACTATGATATTAAATTAATACTGTACATTACATATGAATTTATTTTGGAAAAATTAAACTAAACCTATTATTAAACTTTAAAGGTAAGGACATAATATGTGTTCTCTCGTTGGATTTTTTCAATATTTTAATTTTAATATTTTACAAGCTCATAATTTGCTTTAAAATTAAACTATGGTAAAAACCAACGAGGAACAAAGATAATGATTTAATTTTTAATTTTTAATTTTGACAATATGGCCTATTTTCAAACTCTCTCAATTCACTCTAATATTAAAGAAAACAACACAAAATTAATTCGAAATTGATATGTTGTATATAAGGCAGAAGCAACATATTATGTAAGTCCTCCTATTCTTAATTGTATTTAATTATAATACATTTAAGTATAAGATTTAAATTGTAAATACAATTATTTCAACTAACCAGTATAAGAAAATGCAACATTTAAATATGTCTTGTTGTTTTGTTTTGTTATAAGCATTGACTCTGCTATTAACTTAACCAAATCATCTGGTAGCTTTTTGATGTTCCCAATAACATTAATACACACACCATGCTCATTCAACTTATCTCTATAACAAAATTAAAACCATTAAATTATTAGTACAATTATTGTATATTAAACTATTAAATTAATTAATATCTAAGGTTTAGATTTAAAAGTAATTATTAAAAAATGAACGAAAGATATTCCTCGATCAATTAATCAATGAAAGTTTGCAAAAACAATTCATTGTTAATGTTATATTTAAATAATATACTAGAAAGTAATCTCATATTATGCCATTATAGCGGATAGACATTGGACATATTGATAAAATACTTATCAGCTCTTATGTGCCTAGCACTTATCTAGTCTTGTGAACGTCTATCTAGCAAGTTATCTATCAAAAATAGCTACATAATATACTATTTTAATGTGTTTTCAATAAGGAGATTGTATATCAGACCGCAATTGTTGACAGAAAAAATGTTTAGTTCATTGGTAAAATGTAGTTACTTTTTATTATTTATTTTATATTTTAAGTGCTTTTATAATTTATTTAACATCAAAATTCTAACCACCTACTTATAACATTATTTAAATCAATAAATATAATTTAATACTGGGTGAATAAATACAAATGTGCTTACCATCATTCATACTATTAATTATGCATTTCAAAACTACTCAGATTCTGTTTTTGTTTTTATTTTTAATAACAGCAGTCTGTAACTTTGCTATATAATAACCTAGTCTTTCGACTACTTTAATTTAATTGATTACCATAATCAATGTGACTTAGGTACCATTGGTAATTGGACCACCTTCTGCCAAAGATCAAAAATAGCAGTAAAAAAATAAAATAAAACATCTCTGTTTGGAATATAATAATTAATGATGGTAGTAGGGATATTCCCAAATTACAAAATGCCATTGCTAATTTTATTAGAAAATTGTTATCTATTGGATATATTGGCATTTCAAAATTTCTGGTTTGTATTTGAACTAATTGTATATCCAATTTAAATATAAATTTAAAAAAAGACTTTTTCAAAATTGTTTAAGTTAAATATTTTGAGCTAAAATCATATTACATGTATTATACCCCATATATTTATTTATTCCAAAAACCATTATACACCATTAGTATCCTAAATAAAAGATATTAAATAACTAAGAACCTTATTGTTGAAGTTTAAATTTAAATGCATCAACTTTATCAATAATATCATATACATAACTATTAGGACTAGTAAAAGGGCTGACTTCATTTAAATTTTAGAAAAGTTGTTATATCCACTGAACATTTATAGGACACTAACTTTAAATATATAAAAATTATTTACCTAAGGTATTTCAAAATAAATTCTTCAAGAATATTTAGACATTTCAAAACTCAGAAACTCAATAACTGCATTATTAAAAGTTAAAAATAGGCTAAGCTTGCTTGGTGAATCATCCTGTGTTATACACAATGACATCCGCAGAAATATTGAATTATTTAATGATATATTAGTACCATACTACAGAGAGAACATTTTTTTGACAATGCTTGAAAAGCATAATTTAACCATAAAGAATAAATTTAGATTTAAGTTATGTTTCTAAATAAAGTATTTATACTCTTTTTAACATGAAATAGTCTCAATGTCTCATTTACTTCAAGAATCATTTATTCAAAACTATGTTATATTAACCAAATATTGCGGTCAATGGATTAACCTAGACAATTTTTGAATATGCCCTACTTAAAAATTAGGCAGACAATACTTGCTGTGCCTTTTGTGGACACCCTGAGTTGTTTATAAAAATATAAAAATCTTTGGCTAAATGTATAGAAATATACAGATATAAATATGTATCAGTGTTTTCATGAACTTAAATTTAAATCGAAAAATATATCTTAGAATTTTGATACTTAATTTTTAATAGTAACTAAAATATATTACTTTTCTTCCAAAAGTCTTTTAAATTTTTCTCTTGCAAGATCAAACAATGCATCGATTTCTTCTTGTGTTCGCTTGAAGTTATCTAAACTGAAAGCGTACACAGTAACTTCTTTTATACCTAAATGCAAGCACCATTGCAATGTTTCAGCTAATTTGTCAAACCTAGAAAAATATGTACATAATTAGTAATTATGGTCAATATTATAGCTTGGTTAGATCTAACAATTAATTGTTTATTAGGAGTACTTGGGCAATAGCATTCTAAATTTAAAAATATACATACATCATATTATAATGTACCTATGTATATTTAATATTATAATATTATAAAAGAATAACTACATTATAAAAGATATAACACTCAAAATATATTATTGTACAGATAAGAACTATAAATCTCGATAAACCCGTAAATCTGACAGCTGAGGCAGCATTAATATTAGTTATAATTTTATAAATAAATCTTTCAACCCATATAACAATTAAAAATAAAAGTTGCAAATCATAAAAATTTAAACTATTAATTATCTTAAATATAGAGTTTAAAATCAATAACTACCTAAATAACCTAAATTAAACCTACTTCAAATATGTTAATCAAACATGATGATTATATTCCAACTGTAAATATCAAAATTTCAACTTAAATTAAACATTCATAATTAGTCCAGTAATACCTAATGGGAACCCAAATTGGATATTTCAAAAAAAAAATAACAATTTTTTTAAAATTACTGTACTTTCGAGTTAATGATTAATAATAGGTAGGTAAACTTCATAAATATTTTACTCACAAAATATTATTTTTTGAAAAAAATTAATTGAAAATACAAATTCAATACATTTATTGATCAATTTACCTAAAGTAGATAAAAAATGTATGCAATATCTCATAGTGAGTAATAACCTTCATAGATATTAAACACCACTGAAGCAGGCCCGGTAATATGGGCCTACGCCTAGAGCGGCATTTAAAAATATTTGCTGTAGTATTTACATGTAAAGGGCGGCAAAACTTAATTTTGCTTAGGTGTGATTACCAAATTTGGCTTGAGCCAAAAATTACTTAGGTTTGTTTTATGATTTATGAAGCATATTCAGTGCTTTTAAGAGGGTCCGGATTTTGTAAACAAGCACATTTAAAATGTCTTAATGACTTAGTGTGTACCTCGGTGTGTACACATAAATAAATCTTTGGCTAAAAAAAAGTAACTTAGCTATACAATGTAATATACCTAATTCAGAAAGAATATTTTCCACTCACAAACACATTGTACCTATATCCAGAATAATAGGTATTCTCACATATTAGAAAATTAGAAAATTAAATTAAAGAAATCTGCCTATGCAAATGTGATTATAATATTATGTTAAAACTTATGATAAAAAAAAATAAAAGGTAGGTAGGTATATCATGATGAAACATAAAGCAAATCAGATACTACCCAAAAGTTATTAAAAGTGTTAAAAGTGCTTTTAAACGTTCCAACTCACCCTCGTACATGGCCTTCTTGCTTGGCAACACAATTCTTCTTAGCATAACGTCTATTACCGTCCATTATAAATGCTACATGTTTCGGTATTTCTCCATACGTTAGCACTTGGGCGCAAAAACGTTGCATCCATGTCATTGAGTTGTCACGTATCCAAGACATGTCCAGGTGTGTGAGGAACAGAACATCTAAGCCATTGTACCAATGTTGTAAGTAGGTATATATCCAAGCAGTTGACCTTTGATCGGTATTTTATCTAGGTATTTTCTTCAAAAAGTACATTATTATGCACTAAATTTAATAACGATCAAATTTAATGTACACCTAATTAAAAATAGTGCAGAGCGCATGTATAAAATAAGAAAAAGTAGTATTATAAATTATTATTAATTTTATTAATGAAAATAACCTAAGACAAAGTACAAAAACCGGAATACGTTTAAAAAGCGCCTGTTGATTAATTATATTTACATTATATTCTATACTGAAGTCAAGGTAGTCGTGGCCCGAGAATACCTATAATGTTATCATAATAATTTGAAACACAAAAATACAAAATTGATAAAACGTTAAAAAACTTGGTACTTGAGATATAAAAACCAAACCTAGAAAATCTGATACGTGTTTCAAGTTGGATGGATAAGACGAAGGGCGTCAAGAATTAATGGTCAACTGGCGGCACTGTAATTCATGACGGCTGAATTTGATGTACCATGAATTAGTATCCATAATCCATTATAATTTATAACATAGCTCATAGGTAAATTATAAAAATTTACAAGTATGAACTTTCTTAGGTTCAACTAGCCACTAGGTTGTAACTTTAGGCAGGTACCTACCGACATACATTAATAGCTGTACATACTATAGATTTATACTAAATAGCACAGTTTAAACAAGAATATTATTAAATTAATTTATGCACCTATTAAGTATTAACTATTAAGTATTAGGTAGGTAGTACAATAGTACCTTTGCTATTAGTGTCTATTAGGTACGTATTATAATAGTCGTATCGACAGCAGGTCTTGGGCACGGCATAAAGTGATATTTAGAATAAAGTGTAATAGGTATTAATTAATATATTATTCTTTAAATTATGAATGAAATCGTGAGGTATAAAAAAAAATTGGGGTAGTAACTTCGCTGTACAGTCGGTGTCTACTGTCTAGTGTCACTCTACATTAAGTAGGTCAATATATTGGATGTGTTTTAATTCAAAGATAAAGTATTGCATACCTACTGAAAACTATCATGAGATTAGACGGTCTGCCACTAGTGCCACACTAGATATATTTCTAAAAATATTTTATTATACATACATATTAGCATTATTAGTAATACGGATACGGACAGTAATTATAACTACCTAATTGTTGAACAGCTGAATTAATTGTTGTGAAATACCAAATCACAAACAAATATAATATTTTGTATAGGTATTGGTAGGGCCCGGAATTATATGCACTAAAAATGTACGAAATGTGCATGCACTGATTTTCATTAAAATATGCACTTGAAATATGCAAAAATAGATAAACAAAGATGAATTTTAATTAAATTTATTTAGTTTAAAAATGTATATAATTCATTAAATAATTAATATGGAACAAAAAAAATGTATTAAATGCCAAGTTGAAATAATTTAACTATATTTTGTACAATGTATGATGCATTTTAAACATTCACCCATCTAAATAAAAATTCATGAATTAAAACCAATTAAAATAAATTTAGTATATTTTTATAAAATTTCTAAGTTACCTACCTGAAGAGAAACAGTTGACTACTAATTAGTATCTTTAAAGACTTGGATACATTTTCAAATAAAAATGCACATCGTTTTCCAGCAAATATATTCTTGAATCGAGAAAAACTTAGGGTTTTACGTAGGATGTAGTATTATCATTAATAACCTAATACTATTTTTTTTTCGTAAATATGCATTATATTTAAAAAAAAAAAAAATGCTAAAATATGCTTAAAAATTTTAAATGGTCCAAGTACGCAAAAATATGCAACATTTAATTTTGCATACCAACACATTAGCACAAATTTGTAGCTTATCTAGCTACTTTTTGGACCATTAAAACAAAACATTCAAACGCATATAAATCCGGGCCCTTGGTATTAAGCAATAGAGTACTATAGTGTAGTAGGTAACTAATATATATTATTTCATGTAATAGAAATAACAACACTAGGTATTAATGTCAGTTGATCATTAAAGATCTAATATACTAGGTACTATAATTGTTACTAACTTAACTCTTAACCCGGTTAACCCTACTCAATACCGACGTACCTATACTGTAGTCGGTAGAACTGTGTAAATAGGCTCTTGGTAAAAATAACTTAAAATTAATGAAAATAATTAGGTAGACAATTTTATATAATATACGTATGGCAAATAATTTTTACAATAGTATACCTGTAAAAAGTACCTATTAGTTGCGAAAAGTTTGAAGCACTCGTAAATAATATTATTTTCTTATTAATCTTATAGCAACAAAATAACTAAAACCGTTAGTTTTCTTTTAAGTACATCATTTGGTATAAATTTAAACTTAACATGTTTATAAAAAAAGTGTGCACTTTTAATTTAAAATTTTATATTTCTCGTTTCTTCACAACGATCTTTGTATCAAATATTCAAGCCAATTAAAATGTTATACATTTTTAACTAGGTACCCATAATTACCAAAAAAATTGTCACATATCACATTAATGGGATTTTGATGAATTTTATCAACATTTGTTCATCAAACCCTTATAAAAAAATTTTGATATTTTTTAATTATAGCGAAACTCTTAACCGTGAACTTAATAAACAGATTATTTGTAAGTGGGACCTCTTACATCCACTTACCCCCTATTTTTTTGTTTTTCCCGATTATTTAAAAAAGTTAAATATTGCAAATATCAAAAACAGAAGATTAAATTTGAACTTGATATTTTTCATTCTTTCTTTATTCACATAATTTACTATTGAGTAAAATTTAAATTATTATTATTATTTAATTATTAATTACACTTTGCAGTTTGCATGTGTATTTTCATTAGTTTGTTGCTTTTTATAATTTTCCTGTGAAAGTCTGTAAAATTTGTGTTTTAAGTATACGAAATCTGTACAAGTATAAGCATTAATATCTATAAGAATTTATTAAAAACTGTGATAATATAGGTACTGTTGAAAAAGTATTGGTAGTTATAATGGTTACAATATACCTACACTATTGAATAGAATAATTTCTGGATCCGCCACAGACTCAATACAGACCATGTTCTCAATAAACACAATACCTAATAGTCATCTACTAGTCACATTCTTTTGGAACTCTATAATGTGTAGACTTCAGACTACAGAGTGACCACTATGAAGGGTAAAATCTAAAAGGGAGTACCTATAATATTTTATACGCTTTAGATTCTAGGTGCATACTATATGATGACGGCTTATACAAAATATGTTGTCAAATGGTTCTATTTCTAATTTGATAATATTATTATTATGAAGATTGATGATTACATAGGAGGAAAGTGCCCCGACGGAGAGTGTGAAGTGTGAACCGCCAAAACATACATGGAAATTTAAAAAACCAAACTAAAAAAAAGCTTGGCAACTTACCCGAGTAACACAGCCTGCACTGGTAAATTGCAATTTGCAATCCATAGGTGTCTGGCGTCTGCCGTCTGGTAACTGGTAAAATAATTTATAGATTTACTTATATACACTAACTAAATAGTTAATAATATATAAAATATATAATTATAAATAATTATAGGTAAATACACTCACAATGCAGTTCAGCGGGTTAGCCGGGTTTATCTTTATCATTATTCATTTATAAATTATAATGAAGCGGGCTTAATGGGTACTGAGAAATAATAAAAGTTTAAACTTAACATGTTTATTGTTTATTCTAGTGCACGACGAAGAAAAGGTTCTCTTTTTCTCTAGGTGCTAGGTGCCTAGGTCAATCAAGACTTTCAAGGAAAAAAATTATATACTTATTAATAGGTTGGTACGTACTACGTAGTAGTTAATTTAGTATACTTATAGCAATTGCTTATAGTAGTTACTAGTATCGAGGTTTAGGCCCGTTTCACATGGACGCGTATCGTACGCGCGCGTTTCATACGTCGCGTTCAGAATTACGTTATTTATATTGACCGTTTCACATGCACGCGTATGAAACGCGACGCGTTTTTGGAAACGCGGGCGAAACGCATCCCCGTACGCGGCGCGTATCAAACGCGAGCGTACCGGTTATTACATGTAATGACAGGTTTCACATAGACGCGTATC